AGGTGGTTTAGACTGGAATGAATGATATGCTTTGCAAAGTCACAGGCATAAATAAGGAACCCAGCATCACCATCAGGCCAAAAAGCCACTGGCTATATCAAGGTGCTCACAAACAGCACATCTATTCTCCAAGCCATGGACAACTGACAGCTTGGGCTGGGGAATCTCAACATGGGACCCATGGATGGGCTTGAGGGGGGAAGGCGCAGGAGGTGGCGGTCTGTACCACACCTGAAATTGTATGCAAACTTGTCTCTGTGCATCTGGGAAGAAGCTCTAGTCCTCATCCACATCAAAGAAGCCGAAGGAGAGAAGCTAAGAAGCATCTCCAGCATCTTGACTCACTAGTATTCCAACTCACCCTGGAAGGGGGTCTAAAGTCTGAGTCAGGAGACCTGGGTTCTGGGGGCATCCACCTTGGCTTCCTAGGCAAGTCATTTCCATCTAAGTTCCCCCTCTAGAAGATAAAATTAGCCCAGATGGGCTTTCAGCTCTCCACATATCTAATAGTCAATAGTTCCATGATGCATTTCCCCTCCTTCCCTGCAAGAAACAAAGGAGAAATCGCCCTTAAGACATCTCATCTGAAGCCAGAAAGAGACCTACTCTAGAATCCTGGTGGCAAAGAGCACTTACTTGTAATACGGGCCACTGGAATACCCATTCCTTCTTCTAAGGTTTCAGCTTCTAAGATGGAGAATAAGGAGGAACTGGGACCTGGGCATTCTCTAGTTGGTCTGCAAACCCCAGTGTCAATGAGGCATAGATAGGCCAGACACGATAGTACATGGAAATTCAGAGATGACCCCAAATCCTTTAACTGACTGTGGCAACTTCCTCCAGCTCCCTCTCTATCTTTATATATGTGAGTGTATGTATGTCTGTGGTACTGGCATACACACTAATTAGTTCACTTTGTTTTGTTTCCTCATTATTGCTAATGAGAAGAAAAAAGGATTAAAAAGATCAAGGGCCAAGAAGGAAAAGAGGGCAAAGGAGAAGGCGAAAAGTTGACTTCCTGCCTAATTGGATCATCAGGCTTAAAGAGTTGCCTACCTTCCTGTGTCTTATTTTAAGTCAAAATCTGAGCTCAAATAAGGGGTTACAGAACAATAAATCCTGAAGGCCAAGGTAGCCTAGGAGGGGTCCCAACCATTTAAAATAACCAGATCAAAGCCAGTTGTCAAGACAGATACAAATGGAGCCACCACCCTGAGCTTTTATCAGCTTCATTTTAGGAAAAGAGCATCAAGATTATTTACCGGAGTGACTGGAATTGCCAGTTAAGAGAGAACTCATCAAAGAAGTTTCCGTGTTAAGGAAAGTTACTTGGACATTATGGTAAGCGGGCTGGCTATAGCTTGACATTTATTTGGAAAATACAAAGAAATGTCATAACAAATGTAACAGCAAATCTGCCACTGGAGAGGGGAAGACAGGAAGAGGAGGAAAAGGGAAGAAGGAAGGAAGGAAAGGAGGGAGAAGGGGGAGGGGAGGGGAAGGGAAGGGGAGAAGAGAGAAAAGCAGAAGGAGCGAGAAACATGTTTTCTCACAGATCAGTAAAGCTGTAAGGGCTGAATTGTGTCCCCCCGGCCCCCAAATTCATGTTGAAGCCCTAGTACCTCAGAATGGGACTGTATTTGGAGATTAGGGCTTTTAAAGCGTGATTAAGTTAAAATGAGGCCAACAGGGTGGGCTCTAATCCAGTCTGACTGGTGTCCTTTCAAGAAGAGGAAATTTGGACCCACAGAGAGGACGGAAGTGCGTGCCCAGAGAAAAGTCCACGTGAAGAGGCAGCAAGCGGATGGCCACCTGCAGGCCCAGGAGAGAGGATTCAAAGGGAACCAGCCCTGCGGGCACCTTGATCTTGGAGAGAATAACACCACCTTGCCTCATAAGTTTATTGTGAGGATTAAATAAATATCAGTCACGTAAAGCACTTAGCACAGTACTGAGCGCACAGAGCTCAGGAAGTGACAGCTGTGGCTGCTGTTGCTGGAGACGGGACAAGGGCTTAGGGAAACAAGGTCTATAGCTTTCGTGTAATACAGAACTAATTAAAAGAAAACTTCGCCGCCAGCTTTTTAAGTGACTTCAGGTATGTGAATGGGCCTTTGGGGGCCTTTATTATCAAGTTTGCACAATGGGAAGGAATTATAACATCCGTTTATGCTCAGTGGTCCTGTAAGGAGAATACAATTTGGCTTTCCCTGGGGAGCAGGTCCCACTAGGAAGAGAGACACAGGCGACCTGTTTAGAGGAACCATATCCACCTCAACTGATGGCAGAGACCGCTTGGCCAGAGCTGTGGGCTGGAAGCACTCAAATTCAGATCACCAACTCTGTGAGCCCAGGGGGAAATTTTCTGGTGTGCCACATCATCCTGGAATCAGAGAGAACTGCGGAAGATGGAGAAAGCAAGCAGTTTCCTCTCCGCTTGACCTCTCGGATCTCCAGAGAAAACAGTAACAGGGTGACCAGAAAGATGGGATAAGATGGCTTTGGATCCATTCCTCTGCCTTACAGTTACCTCTACAGGCAGGGAGGAACTTGGGCCCCAGCACTGCTCCACCTCCCAGTAAGGAACATGTTTTCAATTCGTTGGACTTGCACCGTTTTTGGGTGTTATCACCTATAGCTCTGAGACCAAGGCAGTTCTGATGCTACAGCTCACCAGGTGCAGTCAGTTAAGTCAAATAATGGGGGGGGGGTTGTAGAAGTGAGAGCCAAACTTCCTGTCAGCTGCCTGAGCTCCCTGACCCCAGCTCACAGGACACCACTGACCTCACCTCTACGTGCCGTACCCAGCATTCCCCTCCACAGGAGCTCACAAGGTCCATCTATGAGGTGCTTTGGACTCCTTGGAAGAAAGGGGCTGGGCCAGATAAGTTCCTGGGGATCCTGTAAAAATGCAGATCCTGATGCAGTAGGTCCTGATGCGAGGTAGAGCCTGCAATTCTGCATTTCTAACAAGCTGCACCCATGCAATGTTGGTCCTGGGACTACACTCTGAGTTACACATTTGGAATAACTTTTTATTATGAGCACCTAGGACACTGATTCTCCGAGAGTGGTCTAAGTGGACTCTGCAATTGGCATCACTTGAGGGCTTGTTATAAATCTTCATTTCCTGTCATCATGGTAGGTCCTCTCAATCAGACCTTCTGCGGATGGGGTCAGCATCAGTTTTTAGCCATTCCCTCAGGTGATTGCTGTGGACGTTCAGTTTCAGAACCATTGCATAAAATTAGTGGTTCTCAACTGCAGCTCCACATTAGAAGGTACTTTTTAAAACACTATGCCCAGGCTGCATCACAGATCAAGAACGCAGACCCTCCAAGGATGGGGTCAGGGCACCTGTGTTGTGTTGTATTGTGTTTTGTTTTCCCATGTTTTTTTTGTTCAACAGTTTGTTTTTGTAAAGTACCCTTAACTGAGCCTGGAACATACTGAGGGTTCGAAATCACTGTTTAGGTGAATGCTTTTTCCTTCAACATCTACTGATGCATCTAGTAAAACAATCAAAAGTGTATACATGAGCATTTGTGCAGAAGGAGTGACTAAATCTTTAGAAAGAGTGAAGTGTAGTTGTGGTTGTAGGATCTGGAAGCTTGGGCTCCACTCCTAACTCTGTCACTTAGAATTCATGTGACTCCCTGAACGTCAGTATCCTCCTCTGTAACAAGAGGCCATAATACTTGCCCTTACACAACATAGTATCTGCCTCTCACAACTGTTATGTGGAAAGACCTTGTAAACCATAAAATGCTGTCCAAAGAGGAAAGATTATCATTTTGAGATTTAAACTACAATATTAATGCATGAGGCAAATTTAAGTCATTAAAACTGAAAGCAGTAGGAAGGATTTCATAGGTGATTTCTTTTTTCTTTTTTTTTGTGGGGAGGAGGTAATTGGGTTTATTTATTTCTAGAGGAGCTACTGAGGATTGAACCCAGGACCTTGTGCATGCTAAGCATGTGCTCTACCACTTGAGCTATGCCCTCCCCGTCCCTGAGCTTTCCAACGTGGCCTGCTAATCCCTCCACAGCCCCACATGTGGAAGCAAGACGACAGGGCCCTGCCATCCCAGCCCTGAGGCCCCTGCTTCTCTCTGTGCTGGTTCATCACCCAAGGCCTGCCAGCCACAGTGGGATTCTACCTGCCAGCCACTACGGGGTGGGTGTGGGCCAGACTGCCCTGTGGGTTTGGGGGAATGGGGAAAAAATCTACTTCTTGCCCAAAGGGGCCCTTGGCAAAGCAGACAGGCTTTGATGCTCCCCAGCAGATTATTCTGGACCAATGTGGCTTGGTCCACACCAGAGGCCCTTAGAACACTCAGAAACCTCTGTCTAATGTGAGAGGTCCCCCACCCCCCTTCAATCCAACAAACCCTTCCAAGAGCTTCTCTAGATTTTTGTGGTCTGTTCTGGTTCTGGCCTAGACCCTTATTAAAGCCCCAGGGTTCCACAAAATACTCTCACCCCCATCAAGCTCCACTGCATTGAAACAGGCCTGCATCAAACCTCAACACTAAATATGTAGATATTAAACTCACATGGGGGGGTAGGGAATTAAGAGGTACAAACTACTGTGTATAAAATAAGCTACAAGGATATATTATATAGCACAGGGAATAGAGCCAACATTTTATAATAACTTTAAATGGATTCAATCTATTAAAATATTGAATTACTATGTTGTACACTTGAAACTAATATAATATTGTAAATCAGCTATACTGTAATAAAAATTATAAATAAAATAAAAATTATAAATAAATAAAAACTCACTTGGGCACATGAGCTAAGGATGAAGATAAGCACTGGATATATAGAGGCAAGCGAATACTGTTTTTTAATTTTTTTTTAATGGAGGTACTAAGGATTAAACCTAGGACCTCATGCATGCTAAGCACACACTCTACCACCAAGCTATACCCTCCCCCTGAGCAAATACAGTTTTGTATGTTGCTGGTACATTCCTAAAAGAGGCTACTTACCAGCCGCGTATTTACCACAGGAAACAGCAGGGCCAAGAGAGCTCCATTCAACATGTGCATCTGTAGCCTGGAGAGACAAAAAGATACAGTGCAGGTCACACTCTGACTCTGATGCCAAGGCAGACAAAAATGTGTCAGGTTATGCCATGCCAGATGGGAGAGCGTGGAAACAAGTGGCTGTCTGTGTAAAACGGCGCCAGAGTTGGCACACATGCATAATACATTAAAAGCAGCATATTTTGCATTAACCAAAATGTTCTGAAGAGCACCACCACTGCCTCAAAATCCCCCACTTTGTGAACACGCTTTGCTTACAACACTTCATTGCATAATGAGATCTGGGCTCCCTAAACATTTGCTCAGTCCCAATCTCAGCTCCAACTGCTGCAGCTCAGGCGGCAGCCAGGTGCTGGGTTATTACAGTAGGGACCTGTTTCTTAGAACATGGCTGCTGATTTACCCAATGCTCTTCCCCACACAGAGACCTGGGCATAAAAAGGCTAGCTTGTACAATCGAGGGAGCCAACTGCAGTGTTTTGCAGACTCACTCCCCTACTTTCTTAGAAATACCTTCAGGGGCTGCTGTGGGAGGTGGGGAGGGCAGAAGTGACAGCCGTCCAAGCTTTCTTTGATCTATTTTGCATACTGAGTTCTGTGACTTTTAAAGCAAAACAAAAAAGAAAAAGGGGGAAAAAAAGAGGAAGAAGAAAACCACTGCTGCTCAGCCTTGGGTAGTGATACTGTTTCCCAATACCAGACTTATTAAAACACATGCTAGGAATCCTTTATAAGTTAAGAACAAGCAAATCAAGAACAAACTCTGCTTTTGCGAGCTATGGGGATGGATTTGAGCAGCTTCCTCCATTGTTCAAGGCAAATGGTCCTTTACTATTGAGGAAGAAGCAAGGAATGACAGTCTGTTCCTCCCAGAGAAAAGCTAATTTGTTGGGTCACGTACAACCAGCACTCAGCCAACGTGGCTTTTAGACCTTAAGACACTAGCTGGCTCACCCTTGAGCTGTCTCTCTTACACACACTCACATGCAGCCCAGCCATCCCAGGATCTCTCCTATGCCCTGACTGGAACCTAGAAGACCCCCTCCAACTTTAGCTCCTCTCTTGGGCTTACAGACGTGTGCCTAAGACTAACAGCCCTTGTTAGAAGGAGCCTCAAGAGAACAGCACAGAAGCCCCAAGACTGCTCTTCATTTCCCCCAGTTTGCTTCTTATCACTGCTCATTGTTACCAATGCTGTGATGATGGTGATGATGTGCACTTAACGTATTCCAGGCAAATATCAAATTAACTGCTTTACGTAAACTCTCTTGCTGAATTTTTACTGCAATCTTATGAGATGGGTACCTTTATTTTTTCCATTTTGTGCATGAGGAAACCGGGTTCAGAAGTAAAGTGACTCATCAACACCACATATAGGACAGTAGTAGAGCCAAGATGCAAACCCAGGTTTATCTGACTCCAGCCCCAAACTCTTATACCACCTCCTTCATCCCCTTCCCAAGCTTAATGAGCTTTCAGAGGATGACTGAGGGGAGGATGCTCTTAGGCCAGGTTAGGCCACCAGTCCTCTAATTTAACAGGGCTTAGCTTCATCCATAAAAGGGTAGAGGCACACCATTGCAATTTCACTCCTGCTTGTCTGAGTTGGCTAGGCTACTATGCTTTTACAACAGGGTCGTTCTAGGGGGCATCCCATGCTCTGAGAAACTGATGGTTGAAAATCCTGGCTCAAGCCTCAATACCTGGATCAAGGGTCATTAACAGCCATTCTAGGCCTGCAATGAGGTAGAATGTGGCCTAATTCTGCCCCTGAACCCTCCTACATGACAGCCCCAGCCTAAACACTCACCCTGGGAGAGGAAAACAGTCTCACCACCGGCCCAGGTAAAGCTGAACTCTAGTGCCAGCCTTTGCCATTGGCTTTAAAAGAATGCTGACATTTACACAAGGCCAAGTAAATATTTAGGTACCAAAAGTTAAATCTTGAGGGTGATGGAACTGACCCCAAAAGTCTATGGAAGGCCAAAGAAAAGGAAGCTAAAACCAACATCAAGTTTCAAAATGACTACGAAATTCCAAGACAAAGACAAGCTTTGTTCTAGGTCCTCAAAACTCAGTTCCACAAGCTGCATATATCCCAAAGGGTGAATTATCCTTAATACATAAAAAAGCCTTGCATATCAATAATTACAAAAACACCTGACATACATCGAGCAGTTCCATGGGCCAATCACTGGGTGAAGTAGTCAAATGCATCATCTCATTTAATCCTCAGTTTTTATTATAATCAATATCACCTTCTTCAATTTCAGAGCTGAGAAAATCAAAGCACTAAGTGATTAAGTGACTTGCCCAAGATCAAAGAGATAATGAGTGAAAGAGGGAGAAGTCACACTCAGAGCTCACCAAGTTTTAAGCCTGTGTTTTTGCCACTGTACTCTGCACTTCAAATCTAAGACATGAACATTACACATCTTCTCTCTCTCTCTCTCTCTCTCTCTCTCTCTCTCTCTCTCTCTGTGTGTGTGTGTGTGTGTGTGTGTGTGAGACAGCAGACCAGGTAGGAAAAATGTTCTGGAATGCCCACGGGGCAGGAAAAGTCATACCTAAGAGCAATGGAACCCCTTGTGTGTTTGGTGGTAAAACTGCCCCAATTACACCACTGCACTGCCCTCTACAGACCCAGGGCACAGGCCAACAGGTAAATGACCACACCAGAGGCAAAGCTTTTTTTTTTTTTTTTTTTTGCTTTATACCCTCTGCAGCCTGCCACTCAGACTTCTATTGGGTATTGGAAATGGAAAATTAGCCACTAGAAAGTCCAGTGAGAGTTCCCTCCTCTGTACAATGAGAACAGTAATAGTACCAACTCACAGAATTATTATAAGGACTTGATACGTATAAAGTGCTTAGAACAGTACATGGCATATAATAAGACTCAAACACACGTTTCTTAAATAAATGGTGAAGAGCTCACCTAAGAGCCACAAGATTAAAAGGGGATGGGGATCATGAATCATGTGGGAAAGTCAAACTGTTTTAAAAATTCCAAGTGTGAAAAGAGGTGCAGAGAGAACAAAAGGACAGATTAAAGGCCAGAGCCAAAGAGTAGAGCTTGGAGAGGGACTCCAGGTCAGTTAGTCAAGCTCATAAATCTTCTTTGTGCTGGCTCAAAGACTTGGCCATTACCATTGTCACAAATATTTTGTCGGCTTGTTTATTTCTGTGTAGGATACTCTGCTAAGTTAGCTCAGTTGGTAGGAACCTGGGGCAATATGGCAAGTGTTACCAGTGTTACTGTGGTGATCATTTCACAACATACACAAATATCAAATCATTATGTTATACACCTGAAACTAATATAATGTTATATGTCAATTATATCTCAGTTTAAAAAAAGAATTGGCAGTTAAAACCTTCTAAATAAAATGCAGATGGTTTCAGTGACCAATTCTACCAAATATTTATATAATCTTGTCCAGAAAAATAGAACAGAAGAAAATATTTCTCAACTCATTTTATGAGGCTATTACTACCCAGACACCAAAACTAGAAAGGAGTGGGGGAGGGGGGAGGGGGAGGGGAAGGGAGGGGGAGGGGAAAGGAGGAGGAGGAGGAGGAGGAAAGCAAAAACTGAACTAATTATCCCTTGTGAACACAGACACAAAAATCCTCAATAAAATCTTAGCAAATCTACTGTAGCAATAATAAAAAGAACAGGATTCTATGACCAAGTGGGATTTGTCCTGGTTGATTCAATATATGAAATTCAATTAATGAATTCTACCAAATTAACAATATAAAGAATAAAAAGTGTATGCTCATATCAATTGATACAGAAAAGGCATTTGTCAAAATTCAACATCTATTCATGATTTTTTAAAAAAATCAACAAACTAGCAATAGGAGGGAACTTCCTCAACCTGATAAAGAACACCTAAAAAATACTACACTCAAAATCATACTTAATGATGAAAGACTGAATGCTCCCTCTACTAATATCAGGAACAAGACAAGGATGCCCACTCTCAGCACTCCAATTCAACATTATACTGGTAGTCTTAGCCAGTGCAATAAGGCAACAAAAATAGTAGAGATTGGAAAGAAGGATATAATACTATCCCTTCTTGCAAAGAATTATTACATGTGCAGAAAATCTCAAGGAATCAACAAAAAAAGTTCCCAAAACACATGATTATAGGATGACTGCAGGATTTCAAGGTCAACACACAAACATCAGTAATATTTCTACATTGTAGCAGTGTAAAATTAGAAACCGATTTTTAAAAAAATCCCCCAAAACTAAAATACTTCGGTATAAATCTAACAAAATATGTACAGAATCTCTATGCCGAGAACTGGAAAAATATTGATTAGAGAAATCAAAGACCTAAAGAAAGAGAATGACGTATCATGTTCAAGGATTGAAAGGCTCAATATAGAAAAGATGTCAATTATCACCAAAATGATCTATAGATTCAATGCAAGTCTGTGCAAAACCCCAGCAGGATATTTTGTGGATATAGGTGAAGTGACTCAAAAATGTATACGGAAGGGCAAAGAAAGTAGAGCAGCTAAAATAATTTTGAAAAAGTAGAAGATGAAAGAATCAGACTACCTGATTTTAAGGCTTACTATATAAAATTATAGCAATCAAGACAATGTACTATTGGCCAAGAAAAGACGTATCAGTGAAACAGAATAACCCAGAAATAGACCCACATTGACAGAGTAATTTGATTTTTCATCAAAAGCTTTAAAGGCCAGAAGGCAGTGAGTTAAAGTGCTAAAATGAGAGAACAAAACAAAACACTGTCAACCAAGAATTCTGTATCCAACACTACTATTCTTCAAAATAGAGAAATTAAGACATTTCCAGAAAAGCAAAACCTGAGGGAGGTTTGTTATGATTTGACCTGTCTTGTAAGAATTGCTAAAGGGACTCCTTCAGGTTGAAATGAAAAGACACCAGACAGTAACTCAAAAAACCACATGAAGAGATAAAGATCTCAGTAAAGGGAAAATATTGGGCAAGTATAAAAGCTCGTA